TAGAGACCATGGTGACTTGGTAAATATGTGTTTTGTTGTTTTCAGGGGTTGTGTCATCAAAGGATGTGGCCCATACAATTCTCTCCAGAGGAGTGGAAATGCCTAGACTCCCCTCAGCGAATATTATACAGGACTGTGATGTTAGAGAACCATAGAAACCTGGTTTTCCTAGGTGAGGAAACTTCCAAAACACAATCCTTATTTCATACTAAGGATTTTATGTCCTTCCTTGATAGAATGATTTCTGTGAATTTCTTCTTTGCATAAATGAATTTCAGATTCCTACTATCAACAAAAAGTTGGTAATATGTTAACATAGAAAATAAAAATTAATGATATTTCATTTTGACATGAAGCCTTCTCTATTTTAAGTTGACCAGTGTCCTTCTAGCTATATTATTGGTAAGTTCACAAATTTAGTGGTATAGATATCATTGCCCACATCTCATTCCCATTGCTGCCATAAGTTATTGACAGTCGTTCTGAACTAAGAACACACAAATTCAAGGTCATTCATGGTGGGCCTGCTGTGCAATGCTAGCACTTTATGAGGCTTATCCCATAGTTTCAAATATAGCCTGGGCAACTTCGCAAACCCCATTTCTACAAAAAATTTCCTGGGAGTGGTAACGTACACCTGTTGTTCTGGTTACTTGATAGGCTGAGGGAGAATTACCTCAGTCCAACAGGTGAGCACTGAGGTGGCTACGAACTTTCCACTGTACTCCAGCCTGGGTAACAGAGTGAGACTCCAACTTAGAATAAAAAGAAACCCATACTTTGAAATTTTTATCTAAATGTTCTAAAGGTTTTATTTGGAAAGCGTATTTTGGGATTAATTATCTAGAATCTTGTATAATGTGTTCTCTACTGATCAAATACTAGGTTTGTAATCTAAGAACCCCAACAAGAGTCATGTTACTTTTTTCTAATTAAACAGGACTTACTGTCTCTAAGCCATACCTTATTACGTGTCTGGAGCAAAGGAAAGAGCCCTGGGATGTGAAGAGACATGGCACATTAGCCAAACTTCCAGGAAAGAGGGAGTGAATGAAGCAGATGACACAGGTTGAGGAATCAGAGCTTGAAATGTGGTTTGGGAAGGTGTTCTGCTCCAAAGGAAATGGTTTCTTAGAAGCCTGGGATTATTTCTCTTCCTATCACAAAGGGACATCTGTTATTACATGTTCTGAAATTCTCCAAAAACTGCTTCATCAATGATCTTTCAAGTTTACAGAGAAAATCAAAATCCACTTAATGGTTTGTTAGGAACTGCATGATCTGACTATCGTTCTGATGCTTTGGAGACGTGCAAGTATTTGCTTATTTATTTGGCAATCCTTTTCAAACTATTTTTTATGTTGGTTTTTTTTTTTTTGGTATCATGGTTGGAAGTATGTGAGCAGTGATTTTGTTATCTGTTTGAGAAATTTTAAGAATACTCCGGACACTTGTTACATGTTTTCTAATTTATGATTTTCTCTACTGGGGAGATTTCCAATGATTTTATGTAAATTCATACTCAATAGTCTTACCTAAATACACATTTTCTCTCTTAGTAAAAGAAATCCTGATATTCTACTTAAATTTTACTTTTATACTATGATCTGAGACTGGTAGTTTTTCTTTATATTCAAATATTTAAGTGTATTATATCATGTAGAAGGTTGGTAAACATATATTAAATTCCTACCTGTTTCCTTGTGTCTTAATAACTCTTATTTTCTAATTTTCTTTAGTATGAAGCTTAGGACTTGCTTCATATATGCATATATTCAAACGTATATGTATGCATGTTTATGTATGATTAGCATCTGATTTTTTATACATAAATAAAAATGTATAACCATAGTTTGTAAATAACCTAATAATTTAATATGCCTATACAGTGTGAAATGATTATAATTATATTAATGAACATATCAACCATCTTATGTAGTTGCCATTTTTGTTTTGTAAGGAGAACACATAATGTCTTCTATTTTAGCAAATTTTCTAACCATATGAGATGTCATTACTAACAATAAGTCACTATGGTACACAATAGTTTCCTAAGACTCAGTTATAACTCAAATTTTGTAACCATTAGAAAACATTTCCATTTTCCCACCTGCAGGCCCTGGTGACCACGTTGTACTTTCTTTCTCTATGAGTGCAAAGTTTATTGATTCCACAGGAGTGAGATCATGCAGGATTTTTTTTTCCTCGAGTTGGAGTCTCACTCCAGGCTGGAATGCAGTGGCATGCTAATGACCACCACAGCTTCATTGCTGGGCTCAGGTGATCCTGCCATATCAGCCTTTCAAGTAACTGGAACTGCAAGTGTGCGCTGCCATGCTAAGCTTATTTTTGTATTTGTCTCACCTTGGTACTCGGACTGGTCTTGAACCCCTGAGCTCAGGCAATCCTCTCACCTCAATTTCCCAATGTGATGGGTTTACAGACTTGAGTCACTATAACCATTCTCATGCAGTATTTGTTTGTGTGTGTGCCTGGCTCACTTCAGTTAGCATGTCTTACAATGTCATCCATAAGGTTAAAATTGCAGAATTCTTTAAAAAATATTTTTGGCTGAATCATATGCTGTTGTGCATATATACGTGTGTGTGTGTATACACATTTTCTTAATCAACATAGATTCCACAAATATTTAGGTTGTTTTCAAGCTTGGCCATCTTGACAAATGCTGCAATGCCCATAGAGTTTGGAAACTTCTTTTTGGTACTGATTTTATTTCCTTTAGTTATATACCCAGGAAGGGATCTCTGTGTTATGTGGCAGTTTGTTTTTATTTTTAAAAGAATGTTGATAATGACTTTTATATGACTCTGCCAATTTTAAGCTCACCAAAAGTATACAGGATTTCTTTTTCTTCACATCCTTATCAAAAGTTTTCTCTTTCTCTCTTCTGGTTGATATTAGCCATTCTAACAGCTGTGAGACAATATACCATCATTGTGTTTATCTGAAATTGCCTCTACTAGTGATGTTCAGTGACAATTCATATACCTGTTGCCAATTTGTGTGTCCTCATTGGATAATAGCTATTCATTTTGGGGCTGATTTTTATTCAAGTGGTTACCATTTTCTTTCTTTAGTCTCTCCATCAAGTATATGGTTTGCAGATGTTTTTTTCTTGTCCTGTAAGGCTTCTTCCATTTCCTTTTACTCTGCAGAAGCTTTTCAGTTTGATGTCTCCAACTTATTTGTATTTATTTTTATACCTGTAGTCATAAAAAAAGTTATTACTGAGACCAATATAAATATCAAGGTTGTTTTACAAATCCTTTTTATGTTTACATTTTATCAGCATGTTCTCTGTCACCCAGGCAGTTGTGTTATGGCTCAAGTAAGGTTTTCTACATTTCATATGAAAATTTCTCAAACTTTTTTGTAGTTTGCAACTCCACAAATTATTGTTGTACCCTTAGTTGAGTCATTTATCCTGATTCTTTCTGTGCTTTGACATACTTTGTTGAATTGGGGTATTTGAAATTCAAAGATATACACATCAAAATGTATATGATGTTGCTTTGTCTAGATTAATATAACACCAATCACTAAGTTAGACATTCTAGGAGACTCATACCTGTTCTTAGGATGTGTCTTCTCTGTATGTTGGGACAGAAACCAGTCTTTTCATAAACCCTCAAAGGACAGAAATGTGGACTCATACCCCACTCTTCTGTTTATTCCCTGAGGAGGAATTCAAGAGTTAGAACATCTTATCTGATTGCATCATGTTGCATTGTAAAGGAAGAGAAATTATCGTGGCCAAATTAATCAACTTTCTCTTTCATGTAACTCATTTTATCATGTGGATTCTGCAAAGTGTTAGCTGTTTTTTGAGCTTTCACACACACAAGGAGGTAAGTATTTTCTTAAGTACATATATTTATGATGGAGTGGAAACCTGTGATTTATAATTGCCATCAAACTTATGTCCTTAACATGGTATAATATTATGTTTTCTTTTCTTTTTTTTTTTTTTTTTTTGAGTTGGAGTTTCACTCTGTCGCCCAGACTGGAGTGCAGTGGCCGCTTCTGGCCACCGCAGCCTCGACCTGCTGGGGCTCCGGCGATCCTTCCGCCTCAGCCTTCCAAGTAGCTGGAATTACAGGCATGCGCTACCACGCCCGGCTGATTTTTTGATTTATTGTAGAGATGAGGTCTCGCTGCCCAGGCGGGTCTCGAACCCACGGGCTTAGGCAATCCACTCACCTCAGCCTCCCAAAGGCGCGGGTGTTTTATTTTCAAAGGGTATTCAACTGAGTCTAGCATGTGGAATAAATTTTTATTTTCCTGATTTTCAGCCGTGACTTCTCATTACAATGAAGGCCTTTTGCCAGAGAAGAGTATAGAAGACACACTTGCAAATGTGTCAAAGGGAAAATATGGTAAATATGACCTTAAGAACTTATACTTACAAAAATGTTGTGTAAGTGTGTATGAGGGTGAAGGGCAGATAGAATGCTCGGTTGCAAATAAGCAATACAAATGTCACAAGAATAGAAAGTCTTTCATTAACACTCCAAATTTGTTATCCACCAGAGTATCCATATTTCTGAAATGGCTTTCCAACAGAAATATGGCAAAACCTTTAATCAGTCCTCAAAATGTAGTCAACATCAAAAAAAAATGGAGAAAATATACACAATATATCTGGAAAAGTCTTTAAGAAATAATCCTATCTAAGTACACTTGAAAGAGTCCATAGGAGAGAGAGAACCTTCAGAAATGAATAATGTGGCAAAGCCCTTAGCTATTACTCATGTCATTCACAACATCAGAAAATTCACTGTGGAAAGAAATTCTATAAATGTGAAGAATGACTGGGCTCAGCGGCTCAGCCTCTAATCCCAGTGCTTTGGTA